TTCAAGCCAGTCTTTCGTTCTGAACCTTCTGCCTACTGGTCAGTCCTTCAGGAGTGTGGGACAGGTCTCCTCCCGGCTCTGGAGGGCCTTTTAGCCATTGAAACTGGTGTTCTTCCTGCTGAGTTTTGCTTCTTCAGATGGAGCAGCTCCTTCTCTCACATCATTTGCCTCCCAACACCCAAGGCAAACATCCTTTGGGGCCCTCACCTACCTGGGTAGAGCAGAGCAACATCCTCCCACATTCTGAATGCCATACCTCTATTAATGCATCCTGAGGTTGCGTTAGTGTCCCTACAGATCTGTGATGATTCATTATGGGCTGATGTCAACTAAACCCCTGTGTATCTTCCATGTTGGTGTCTTTCCCCTACTTCATTGTTGTACAATTGACATTAAAGACTAATATGTGGATGTTTAGGTTTCTCTCTTTACTTTTCACCTTGTTACATGAGTTTGCCTGCTCCAGCTTTTTGAGGTCCATTTGGATATGTATTCTTAATGCATTTTCTTTCCTTCTCAACCTTTTCTGAATGGTTTTAGCTCATCCAAGTTGTTCCCACTCCTCCAAGGTCGTTCCCTGACCCTCTTTCCTTCGCGAGTAGTTGTGGGAAATCATAGCATGCTTATGAAGATGTCCTTAGGAGGCACTAGCCCAGTTCTTCGGGGAACCAAACAGTCCCCCAGGAAGCAAGAGTCCTGTTTGCCTCTTCTCGTTTCCCCGTGGGAAGGCTGCCCACGCGGCTGTAGTCCTCCTGCACACTCAGGCCCCTCTGCCAGGGTCTCCGGTAGGGGAGAAGTAACTCCTCCGTCTTCCCAGGAATTTGGGTTTAGAATCTTTAGCAGTTTCCTAGGGCTGTTGTAACAAGTTACCACAGACTTGGTTAAAAGAGCAGTTTACTCTCTGGCAGTTCTGGAGGCCAGGACGCCCAAATCAGGGTGTCAGCAGGGTCGGTTCCTCCTGGAGGCTCCGAGGGAGAAGCTGATCTGTGCGTCTCTCCCGCTCCTGGCGACTCCTACGACCCGTGGCGCTCCTCCGGTCTCCGCCTCTGTCTCTTCTTCCCTGTGTCCTCCCCTCTTCCTAGAAGGACAGCAGTCCCTGGATTCTCCCAAATCCAAGATCTTCAACATAATTCTATCTGCAAAGCCCCTATTTCCAAATCAGACCCCTTCTCAGGCTCGGGCTGGGGAGGGCATGGACAGGCCTCATTGGGCATCTGCGGCCTCCACACAGGAGGGGTGACCGCTCGTTCCTGATGAGTGAAGTCCCTGCTCACGTGTTTGCCGGCACAGTGGGGCGCGAAGGACTTGTTCCAGACCCACATCCCAGCATGCACGTGGACTGTAGAGAGGCCTAAAGCCCCCTGCCCCTCGGGTGGCAGATCCAGGGTCCCTGGGGGACTGAGGGGCGGGGACATTTCCCCTCACCCTGCTGAGGAGGTGGGGTCCTGGGCTCGTTTCACCGTGCCCCAAACAGGTGAGAGTCAGTATTCTCACCCGAGCAGGGCTGGGCTGGCTGGACCACTGGACATGTCCCCGTTTTTCCCCAGGATCGCTTCTTGATTTCTAAAAAATTGTGTGGAATCGGCACAAACTTCGAGAAGTTTGGATTTAAACTGAGACAGGCTTAGAGGCTCTTGTTTGTTCATGAGCCAGATGTCAACAGGAGATGTTATTACACAAAATGAACTCTCAGAATGGAAAGCTTGGGCCGATGGCTGGGTTTATAGGCAGTAATTTATGTGCTGGAATCTCACCTCCACTGAAGAATTTGGATCGTTCTGTGGGAGTCCTTGGTAAGGACTCTGGATTTGGACTTCTATTAAATACAGATTTTGATGACAGTTTCAGAGGCCTCAGTGACTTCTCAGGGACAGCGTTTCTTGGGCGGAGCCATAACATGGGCAGGGCTGGTAGGAAATGTGTGAACTAGAGAGGCGCCCCATCAGGCCCATGGCCACGTGGTTCCCCTTGGACACATGCGGCTCAACTGCCCTTTGAGGCATTTATCAATCAGCGGCTGACCTGCAATGACAGGTGCTGGCTTTCAGTCCTGATGGATGTCCTATTCTGGAAGAGGGAAAGTAGCACAGCTGACGTTAGGGGACACCGGTAAGAGGTGGATGTAGTGTCATCCCAGGTACTGTACTGAGGTGAGCCCGGATCTGGGGGCGCATCTACTCCCCAGTCACTGAGCATCTTTAATGACTAGCCTCGGAGCAAGTCCTTTTGGGGCGTTTGGCTGAGCGGGTGAGATGTACCAAACACTCCCCTTGCAGTGTGTGTTTGGATTTGAGGCCATGTGTGAGCAGATCCAAACATCTCAGGACTCAGGGGTGTCCTCTGTTGACATTGGCTGTGGGTGAATTCTAAAGGGCTGTGTTGAAGACGCGTGCCAAGTGCCAGAGGTGAAGAAGAACTGTCGCCAAGAAGCCCTGCTCATGTTATTTGTGTAAATCTTTGTATCCTGCTGTGACCGCAAGGAGAGGAGGCGCTGGAGAAGGACCGTTTGCAGCTGACCTGTGTGACAGGGGCTCTGCGGCTTCGCAGGAGTGTGTGTGGCCGAGTGCTGGGGACGGGTGGAGCTGCTGGCTGCAGTTGGCGGTACAGATCTGAGTCCCCAGAGGTGTGGGCACCTAATAACATTGGCAGAGTTGTCTTCACTGGAAGGAGGGAGGCCAAGTTGGAGAAGCTGTGGGAACAGAAAGTATGAAGCCGAGAGGAGAAATGTGACGCATGGAGCCAGCGGCCCAGCCCGCAGCACCCCCGTTTCCCCACGGCAGGTGGCCGTTGTATGTGAGTGGAGGGTGTTGGGCACAGCAATGGGGTCAATGGAGGTGTGTGTTGAAAAGGCACAAGACAGAAACAAAGGTGGGACTTTTGAAAACCAGAAAAAGGATACAGACTTCCCTTCTTTGCAAGCAGAAACAGGAGAAAGAGATGCAGGAAGCTCATAATTCAGAAATTCTGTTAAAGAAAACATTAGCATTAGGGTGCAGTGGAATGTTTATGCCAGGCCACAGTGTACCATCTTATACTTTTATGGGTGTTCAGAATGCCCCCAAATTAAATCACTATAAAAGTGCCATGATAATAGATGTATTATCTGATCCCATCTGATATAATCTGATAGATCTATGTTTTAAAAAATATAAAATATACCGGTATGTGCTTGAGGATGCACAGGAAATTTCTGGAAGGATATCTAAGAAACTGATAACAAAGGTCACCTGTGGCGAGTCAGACTGTATTTAGGACCATTGGGGAAATGAAGGACAGAGACGTTAAATGAAAGATGTGCTTAGTTAGTATGTTGTAACTAGTTTTGTTTTACTTTTTGTTTATCTGGTACAAGAAAAGGAATATTCCATGGTTAAAAAAAAAATCTATCTGCAGTGTTGAAATTCCAATAAAATATATTTGCTGAGGATTTCCAAAAAGAAGAAAGAAGGAAAAACTTAGTCTGCCACTTGTTAAAGGACTGTAACAGGCTTTATTCGGGGCTGCCGCAGTGGGCGAAGGGCCCACGGCAGTGGGGTCTTGGAGTAGGGGAGAGAGATTGGGGGTTGTCAGTGGGGGGAAAATTACTAAGAGGACGACACATCAGGGGTGAGGGGTGATTCTGGCTAAACCGACCTCACGAGATTCTTGCAGAAGGAAGGCCGGGTGGTCAGACGTGGGACTTAGCGGGGATGGTGGGGGATTATGGCTAAAATTGGGCAATGCACAGACAGACACTGAAGTCCAAAAATTGAGGCCTAGTTGAATTCTGAAGGAGCCTGAGTAAAGTTTGATCAAGGAGAGACACTGTCAGTTCCTGTATGAAAACATTTCTGCTCACATGTGGTGGCGTCCATATGAACAGATCCGTGTGTCTGGAAAAACATGGGTCTACAGGTATCTACATGTGTATGTGGGGTGTTTTTACATTACGTTAAAAAATAGGTCTTGATAAATAAATGAAAAGCAGTGGTATGTATTGGAATATATGAGGAAGCCATTTGGCTTAAAACTAATTCGACCTGACCTTGTTTTTCCAAAAGGGCCTCATTTGGCCTGTTGAGCACGCATTGTACATCTGCTTTAAACACTTACTGTATACCATAGACAAGAATGATGCCCTTAAAGTTAGGGATGTAGCTTGCCCCCATATCGGCATTTCCTTAAGGAGAAGCATCTCTTCCTGGGAACTAAGGATTGATTACCAAGCTGCTGTGCTCACCTTGTGACCACTGACCTGCTGTGCCAACTAGGCATCTTGTGACAGTTTTGCAAAAGAGACATTTCTGTCATATGTGATGGATGCTCTTTGTTCCATGACAGTATGTAACCACCCTGTACACCCCACTTCTTTGGTGCCCTTCCTTCCTTGGGGAAAGAAGGCCTCGGGCTATAGTCCTTAAACATGGCTTGTAAGAAATTCACCCCAATTTTGCTTTGTAGATTGATTATGGATTATTTGCATTGATAGTCCCTCCCTATCTAGAAAGACATATTTCACATGTATATAATTTTAACATTTGGGGTGTCTGTGGAAAGGGCCAGGAATTTCGTGCAGAAGTGTGATATTGCGAGAGTGACAGATGTTTTTGTTATTGTTGCCTCCAAGAGAGGAGAGAGGAACCGGAAGTTGCATAAAATTTTGATGGCCTCTCTTTGCTGTTGTACACTTTGTGTAAGCTGGTGTTGTTTCGAAGCTCACTGTTACTGTGAACACAGCCGCAGCCTGAGGTGGCTAGAAAGAACAACAAAACAACTGCCAGTGGTTTGTCTGGGGCTGGTGTAGACACGTCTGAGTCCAGGAGAGTGTGGGTGGCCCTGTGAAGGGTGAGGGGCATGAAGGGAAGGAGGGAAGTGGCTCACCTTCCAGGTAATGAAGAGAAATGGCAGTGTTTTAATGAACAAAGCTAGATAATGTAATTGCACGTTGATTTCCATTGTCACCCAAATGGCGTGATTTCGCATTCACGGGTGGTAAAAATATCCATTTATTTTATTCACAGGTTGTATTCAGACTATCTCTACTTTGCAAGTTCGAATAAATCTGCAGATGACTTCCATGAAAAAGTGACAGAAGCTCTGCAGCTGTTTGAAAATTGCATGCTCGATTATTCGTTGCGTGCCTGTGTCTACAACAACACCCTCAATAATGCCATGCCTGTGCGTATCCGGACGCCTGCCCCTCCCTGAATGGGCTACTTTGTGGTTATTATGCAAGTGGCACTGTGCATTGGGATCTTAGCATATAAACAGAGAAGCGTTTTAATGTGCAAACGCCTCTCCCCTGCCTTTGAGCAGTGGCTAATGCAAAAACAAATATTCACGGATGTAAAAACTCTAAAACTGATGGGCCTTTCAGCTGGCACCCTGCTTTCTTCCCTGCTGATGCTCTCGCCTCCCTCTGCAGAGAATGAGGCCCCATTTAGGAAGATTACCATTTCATGAGGCTCCCAGAACACACCCGGCAATTAGGATTGGCAGACAGGAGGACACCCAGCTCTCAAAGTGTCTTAGAGCCGGCTCCCCAACGGTGGATTGCTTTGTTGGTTTCAAGAATTACCCACCAGGGTGACTCTCAGTGTTTCTTTGTAGGAGCTCAGTGGAAAAATGTTTTCCCTGGAGCCCTCTTTCCTCTTGTCTGCCTTCAGGAATATAGCTATACGTTTCTTTCCTTTTTTATGCGGAAGAAGCTGTTAGTAGTGAATTCAGCACCCTTTAGCTAAGGGACAGTTTTCCGTGAGGCAGCACCCAAGGGTGTCCTCAGAGCCTTTTCAGCAGGGTTCCACAGCGAAGCAGTGCTGTCACTTGTGGCCCACAAGCCTTGCGCTGCTGAGCATGTCCTGTGGTACGGCAGACAGATCTGCTTGAAGTGGAGGTCTGAAACACGCCAGGGTGGTGGGGTTCCAGGTCAACGGTCTCCCTCCCTTTTCCTTGTTATCAAGGCCGTCTTATCTGGAAGGCAGGGCTCCGGCTCTGGCAGGACACGCGGAGGTGGCAGGTAGGATTCTAGGCTGTCCTGCCGGGGGTTGTAGTTTGGTAGGGAAGGTGCAGCAAGGGCACAGGGAACCTCAGGGTCCGGCTGGTGGTGTGGGGTAGAAGGAGTGGCCTTTGGAGCCCGACCTTGGTGTGGCTTCAGTTCTCGGCTTGGGCATTCACTAGCTGTGTGACTCTGGGCAGTTGTCTTAGCTTCTCTGAGACTCAGTTGCTTCATCATAGAATGGAGTAATAATACTGCTTTATCAGGCTGTCGGATGGCGTAGAGAGTGGTAGTTCATTCGTGTGTAGGGGAGGAAAAATTCATTCTTTTCCTCCACCCACTTTAGGTTCTTTGGCTGGGGCCCTGTAAATTAGACTGACAAAAGACAGATTAACAGAGAAAAAGAAACCCAACTTTATTAACATGTGCGTTGCACGCACACCTGGGAGCACTCAGTGATGAGTAACTCAGAGGGGCGGTTAGAACTCTAGAACTTGGGCTTGTGTAGCATCTTAACAAGAGAACAGTAAATGTGTAGAGAGGTGAGAAGACAAAGCAAAAGGACTTTGAGTTTCTAGGGTGGCAAATTATGGGAAGGCAAACACGTGGGGAACCGGTGGAAGATAAGGGCTGGTTTCAGGAAAGTTTGTTCCGTCAGGGCCTGTGCTGTTGTCTCCAGGCTGATAAGGGTCTAGAGTTGTCTCCAGTGATGAACTCCTGTCCTTCCTGGTAGAGAGAGGAGGGGAGATGCCCTTACAAATTTGTGTCCTACTTTTAGGCAAATAGGGGGAGAACAGAGAGCTTTTCTTGAATCGGTTTTTCTCAATTTTCTTTAACTCAAAATAATCCTGATGCCAAACCGGCGTATTTTGGGGCAGCATATTCTGCCGCCCTTCACATGCATTCCTGCATTGTGTCCGTGCATGGTGCTGTCTCCTGGGCTACAGCGGTAGCTGGACAGGCGTGGGTCTTGCACCCCAGTGCAGCCCCAGCCCTGTGGGGAGAGTGGGATGGAGGGCAGGAACCCTGGCCCCCAGCAGAGGCCACCTGAGAATAGGGTGTGAGGGGTGCTTCCTAGGAGAGGTGATGTCTGTGCTGAGGCCTAAAGGGTGAGTTGACCAGAGACATGGAAGTAGGGACGTGTCCAGGTGCGGAGAGCAGCATGTGCAGAGGCTGAGAGGTAAGCCCCGAGAGCATTCGCTATAGCCGGGCACAGTGCGCATGCTTGTGTGGGTGGTGTGGGGACGGTGGGAGGGAGGTGCTTAGGGCTCCATCACCAGGCACTTGGGAGCCTCAGAAGGAGTCTGGACTTCATCCTGGGGGAGATGGGACCCCCACCTGGAGTGGGAGCGTTTAAGCAGAGGGTAGTTAGGGCAGCTGTGCATTTTAGAAAGATGCCTGGTGCTGTGGGACACTTGACTGAGTTGGGATGGGGCCCGGGGTGGGGGTTGTCTCCCAGAGATGGGCAGGTGGGAGGGTGCTGTGAGAGAGGGGGTGTCTGAGTCAAAGTAGGAGAACCATGGAGGTTTTTAGAAACAGGAGGAAGAGTGGCAAGGGTGCACAGATGGATTGGATCAGGGATGGTGGGATAAAAGGAGGAAAGCAGATCCGTGTGCATAGCTCTGGCTTATTTCTGTTGTTTATGACTGTGATTGAGGGTCATCCATGCCGGGCCTGTAGGAGAGAAGAGCCACTGCCAGGAGATGTTTCCTGAATAATCGCAGGTGTGTCATGAAATGGGGACTGGCCCCTTCACAGTTGAGACTTAATTTGTTTCTGTGGGCATATGCTGGGTGCCCACTCTGTGCAGCACTGTGCTCCGGGCTGGGAGAAACACAAGCCTGCCTCGAGACGCTATGCCCGGGGTTCCTCTCCACCCCCTGACCACTCACCAGCCCCCAACCCAGATCAACGTGTTAGGGAGGGAATGTGGGGACAGAAGTCAGTGTGACCACTGGCCCCTGAGGACTGTGGGAGGCGAGGTAATGTGTCCAGCTCGTGTGGCTCAGAGAAGGAGCTGGAACCATCCTCTCCCAGGCCTGTTACTACTGAGTTCTCTCTTCAGGAGATTATCTGACAGAGACTCAGAAAAGGAGGGCAGGCCTGGGCTTTTACTTTGGGGGCCTCCTACAAGGAAGTGGCTTGAACTGGTGGGTTTGGGTGGTCAGGGTGAGGCAGGGCTGGGTGGAATTCCTGACTGGAGGTGCAGTTTGTTTCAGTAGCTTTAAGCTGTGTTTCTCTCCATGGGAGAGTGACTGTCTGATGTAAATACACAGTCGGTGTGCCATGGGGCACTTTGCATCACCCTGAGCGTGCCAGGCCCTCCAGCACATTCTCTTGTCACAGTCAGTACCACAGGGAGAAAGCAAGCTAGAGGTGTATCTTGTCTGTCTTTAAACAAGTTTCCAGGAGGCAGGATGTCCACAGCCACTTCCCTGCACAGGGAAGAAGGGTGCCTGCCCCTTGGCTGCCCTGTTGGCACTCCAGCTGCCAACATAAACCCTGTTGAGATGGGGTGGTGAGTTGATGGGCATCATCATGCGTCTCTGCTTTGGTGTGTCCTGGAAATGTTTCCTGATCAAATGTTTTTGAAAGCTCCATCAGTGAGAGAGGGGAAGGGCTCTGTTCAATACCAAAAGTTCAACTGAGTAGATTTAAAGATCTAGTTGGCTTTATTGAGTGATTCAAAAATCGGGCAGCATCCCATCCAGCAAATAGATAGGTGCTCCGAGGAGCTGTACAGAATGGAAGGTTTTTATAGGCAGAAAGAGGTTTTAGGACAAAGAAGTTAAGAGTGGAGTATTTCAGGCAAGATCATCTTCCCCAGGGGAAGGCAGGGGTCTTATCAGTGTTGATCAGGAAATTCCAGCCTGGTGGGTTTAGAATTCCACTCCTGGGAGAGGCTGAAAAGGCAGTTGGCTAGGTATGAAGTCTTGCGGGGCTTAGCACAAGTGACTCCATTTTGGGCCTGTTGTTTCTTTTTAACATCTCTAATCTTTGTTCATCACTGACTCTGAGCCAGGCACTGTCTTAAGCTCTTTCAGTGCATCATCTCGTCCCATCCTCCCAGTTTCCCTGAAATCCGTGCCCATTTTACATATGAGGACCCTGAGGCTCAGAGGTTAACTCTCCCCCCGAGAGCCACGTGGCTAGTAACAGGCAGGCTCAGGGTTCAGTTTCTGGTCCCAGGCCTTTGAAACTCATGGCGTTTCCTCCCCCTTTAGCTGGCTCCTGAAAGCAGAGGTTTGAACTGGCAGGGGGCATGTGCTTTTTAAACTCAAGTCCGTGTTTTGCTGAGGATGACGAGGCAGTGGCAGAGCAGGTGCCCCTGGTCAGAGTGAGATGTCCAGGCAGGGTCGGGGGACAGAAGGGAGGGGGCGGCACAGATTTGGGATTGCTTGCAGCCCTTCAGTCCTTGGAGAGCTCAGGCACAGGGCTAAGAGCCAGGAGGTGAGGAGCACTCGGAAACCCTCCTCTTAGGGGTGAGTCTTCCATTCTGGGATGAGAGAAGCAAATGTCCCTCGAGCTGTGAATCCCAGCCCCGCCACAGTGTAGGGAGGGCAGTCTTTTCTGAACAGAGGAGGATTCTGGCGCTACCCTGCTTAAGACACTCACTGCCTTCCTGTGGCAGCTGAGTGCCCGAGCCGGCCCAGCCTGCCTCTCCGCCTCCTCCCAGCCGCCTCCCTCTGCATCACTGCTGTGCCCCACACTCTCCTGTCAGAGCCTCGGACAGGCCAACTTCCTGCTGCAGAGCAGGGGTTTGCGAAGTGTGGTCCCTGGACCAGCATCTTCTGGGAACTTGTCAGAAATGCAAACTCTCAGGCCGAGTCCCAGACCCCAGAATCCGGAACTTTGGGAGTGGGCCCATCAGTCTATGTGACAAGCCCTCCAGGTGGGCGTGTTGTGGGCTCAGGTTGGGGAAGCTGGTTCTAGGGCCTTTTCCCACTCCCTCTGCGTCACGTGCTTCTCCTGGTTGCTGTCAGCTTCTCAGCCTGTGGGTCTGGGTTAATCTGACCTCCTGTTCTCTCTCCACCCTGTTTGTGTCCCCAGGGCATGTGTCACAGTGGGCAGTTACAGACATTTGTTTCTTTACCAGCTCCGCTCTGCCTCCGACTAGATTACAAGCTGCTCCATGAGACCAGCGGCCGTGTCTGTTGCATAGCAGCATGTCTCCATTGCCTCGCGGGGCAAGTTGCATGCACAAGATTATTTACAGGATGAATGGATGAATGAGTGAATGAATGAGTGGGGAGTTTGTGAGGCCAGTGGGGAGTTCCACCTAAATCCTTCATGGGGAACAGAGAGGCTCAGCGTGGTGCCCGTCTGGGAAGCGCCCTGCACTGGCCCCTTCTCAGGTCTTTCCCAGTGTGGGGGTACAAGCCCCGAATGCGGGGCCGTGACTTCAGGTCCAGCCTCTGGTGGGTGCCTCCACTTGACCTTGAGCAGGCCCCTCCCCTCCCCTCGGCCTCTGTTTCCATCAAGAGCCGGCTGGAGCAGACAACCTCAAAGGCTTGTCTCGGCTCTGATGTTTTCTAATTTTAAATATATTGGCACTTCCCCTAAACACTTTTTTCTTCATTCCATTTTGATTCTCTGGCCTATGCTGGGGAAAGGGAGGAAGAAACGTCCTGAGTGGGCCTGTCTTAGGTTTGTCTTCATGGTGCACATCTAGTAGTAATGCTGCATGCACCAGAAACTGTCACTCCAGGTGGTAATGGGGCTGGGGGTGGGGTAGGAGCTGACTGGGCCCGAAGAGGGCCGGCCTTTGCCCGCCCCATGGCAGTGGAGGGGGCTCTCCGCACGATGGGCACAAACAGGCTTTATGCTTTTTTTTTTCATGGTAGGGGCTGAAGCTAATTTAAAACACCCCCATTCTGCCACGAACACCCAGCTTTTTTCCTTCTAGAAAGTTCTTGAGTAGCAAAGGCAGGTTCTCTGGAAGAGAGAAAGCTCGTCAGGCTGGTTCTGCCTGTGAGGGGCCGGCCTGTGAGCCTGACAGACGGAGGGAGAATTGGAGAGCTCTGTGCGGCCCACGACTTAACAAGATGATGTTCTCATAATGGTTCATCTGTGTCGGAGGCGACGCAGGTATTTATTTCTGAGGCTGGCACATACTCATTTTCTCCCGAGCTCTGGCCCAGCTTGAGGTCTCCTCTACGAGCGGTGTACAAGGCAGCGGCAACCTGGGGGCTGGAGGCAGCTAATGACTGTTGCAGACAGCTTATCCCCTCTAATTGTGGTTCTCCCTACACATCCTCCTGCATGATGAGAAAAATAATGAAATGGAAAAAGAATAGCGAGCAATGAAACCACTTAGTATCTGTACGTATTTTGTCAAACGTTTCATCATCTTGTTGTTCCCACCGTGTTCAGCAATTCTGCCAGGGTGCACGGCCGTGTGCAGCCAGGGATGATGGAAGAGCTGTGGTCCCTGTCCTTGAGGAACTCAGGGTCGAGCTGGGAAGGAAAGGAAAGACGATGCGGGAATGTCTGCTTGGAGAAAGGAGACTCGGAGGAGGAACCTGGGGAGCTGGGGGCTCTCCACCTGGTGGGGGGGCTGGCAGTTCAAGCAGACTGGGATCTTTCCACACACACAGAGCCAGTGGGGCTTGGAGGGGGCTGGCTGTGGCCAGGCCATTGGTTTGGAACGCTCACGCTGGTGGCCGGGCGTTCAGAGACGGGAGACGGGAGCCCCACTTAGGAGGCTGGGATAGAGTCCAGGCAGGTGCTGACGGGGCCCGAACGCAGGGAGTGGCGCTGAACTGGGGAGAGGTGGGAGATGAGAAACATTTGGGAAGACCACAGAGAGGCAGAGCGGGAGACGGGAAATGGAGCAGGGTCCTTGGAGGAGGGGTGGCGGGCCCGGGGGAGGAGAGCTGGAGAAGGGGCCTCAGAGTGGAAGGGGAAAGGACCCATTCTTTTTTGGAGATTTGCCAACAGTTTGGGGCCAACTGTGAAGTTAGGGGGAACAGTCCCCAAGACTGCCTCACTTCTGGCACCATTCGCAAGTTGGCAGGGGCCCCTAGACCACCCTCAGGTTGAGTAATTCTCTGGAAAGGATGGCAGAACACACTGAAGACTATTATTTTCATGGTTACGATTTAAAAGAGGGAAAGGACACGTGAAAATCAGCCAGGGGAAGAAGCACATGGAGACCCAGGAGGTCTCCTGTCAGCCTGTCCCCAAGGGGCATGTGCAGTGTCAACACCTCCACCCACCGTGTGTGCCAGTACGCACAGAGCATTGCCCACCAGGGAAGCCGTCCTCAGCCATGGGTGTTGAGAGTATTTACTGGGGCTCGATCACATGCTACCCATGTGGCTGACCTTTAGTCTCTAGTCCCTCGTGGAGGTCAAGTGATACTGTGTGGCCCCAAACCCCCGTCATAACCCGCTGGCTGTAGGACTGTCCAGTGGCCAGATCTCCCAGGCAAGCAAAGACACTCTTATCAGGCAGGACATCCCAAGTGGCCTAGAGGTGATCTCCCAGGACCGAGGACAAAGGGCAGACCTCTGGGTGAGGGTAATTCTTCACTACAAGGCTGGCAGTCTGGCATGAGAGAAAGTGCCAGGGAAGGCCGAGGACCCCCGACAGCTGTGGGTAGGAGAGAACAGCTTCGTATCACGCTGCTCGTATTCAGGTGTGCACACCCCCATGGTCATGGGCGTCCGTGGGGCCCAGGCATGTAGCGGTTCGCTCACCTCGCTTCTCTCCGAGGTATTTTTCACGGCTGTCTCGTGCTGGGCATAGGAGCAGAGATGTCTAGCCAGGATATTGTGCAAAGAAAATTCGCACCGTTGGTGGGTGTGCCCTTGGCCTCTCCCTCACCTCAGTCCTCACTGTGAAATGTGCTGTGGGGCCACCTGCAGGGATGTCTTGAGGATTAAATGTGGCCCTAAGTGTGGGAATCCTTTGTGCGTGTAGCGCAGAACCCTTCACGAAGAAGCAAGAACACATGGTGTTTAAAATCCAGCTTCTGAAGGCAACTGTTTGCAAGGATGACCCTTTGGCACTGGTTTATAATGCATGCTGTGATACTTTTGGGAAAGTGCCTTCTGGGGTTGGGGGGATTGCTCCTGAAATAACGCCTGCCTCCTTCTTTGACCCCAGGTGAGGCTCCAGGTTGGGCTGTACGCTGTGTATCTTCTGGACTGGCTCACTGTTTTTAATAAAGAACAGTTCCTCATTCTCCGCCTGGAAGACCACGCATCCAACGTCAAGTACACCATGCACAGGGTCTTCCAGTTTCTCAATCTCGGTATGAACGTGGCGCTGGAGACCCGTGGGGCAGGAGCTCCAGGGACACTGGCTTTGAGGCACTCACTGAGTCACACGCAGCCTCGCTGAGCTGGGCGGGGACAGGCTGAACTGGGAGGCCAGTTCAGTACCTGTTTATCAAGCACCAGCCGCACACGGGCCTTGTGCACGGTGTGGTGGCGGGGGGAGTCCCGGGGGGGGAAGAGATGGAGTCTTGTCTGGGAGCTGATGGTCCAGCGGAGGGAGAGGAGGCAGCCATGGCTCAAATCACATGGGGGATGGTTAGCATGATCACGTAGGTTCGTACAGATGACCTGGGGTCCCAGCTGCTGAAGGGATCCTGGAAGACTTCATGGAGAGAAATGGTCTGGGAGCTGAGCCTTGAGGCTGGGCAGGATGTCAGTGGGTGGCTGGGACAGTCCTGCAGGGGACACAGGGCTTGGAGGAGGGAACAGAAAGGTCATCACATTGTTTCAGGTGGTTGGGGACTCCTGGAGTCAGACCTGTGTGGCTGGGTTTTGGCTGCTGGTCCCGGCTCCTGGGCCTCTGGGGAGGGGGAGCCTGCCCTCAGCCTGAGGATGCCATTGCCCAGAGACCTGAGTGGCATATTGTGGAGCAGTCTCTGCCGGCCATGGTGACGGCTGGTAGAGGTGCATACTGGGGTGTGGAGTGTTGTCCGTGTGGACGGGGCATCCAAGGCCTGCTTGAAAGGCTGGAGCAGAGCTCATGTTCCTTCCTAGGACACATCCTGTGGCCCTGTCTAATTATGTTGCCTGGGACTTTTGTTAATTGAGTATTTCTTGAAATCTCTTGGCCCACCACTGGGCCTTGGGACCCTGTTAGCACTTGATTTTCCTTCTCCTTTTCTTGGAGAGCTGGTGATGAGATGGAGTGTGATTACTTTTTCCTTTTAAGGCCTAGAACCGTTTTTCTTTGATTTGGCCACCTGTAGACTCTGTCGCATTAATGAGCTTGTCTTTAGTCTCTAAGATGAATGGTAAGGCCAGTTCTGATCCTTCTATCTCATGTAACTCTAGGACACTGGGAGATGGTTTTTCCGTGTGTGGGCTCAGGACTCTGGCCAGATCCCAAGAGCCCAGGGCACAGAAGCCTGGGCAGTGATCCGGGGCTTAAGCCAGTGAGAGGCTTATGGTCCAGAGGGCTGGGGGTGGCGGTGGCAGCCTCAGGTGGCAGCACCTGCTGGCTCATTCCCGGGTCTCTCCCTGCTGATATCCTTGCTACAGGTGGAGGGTCAGCCGGTGGGGGTCTCTGGGCACAGGTGGCTCCTCTCCTCACCCTCCCTCTGGCTGCTTCGCAACACAACACACAGGGTGAAATATGGTGCAGCGATGGGGCCCTCTGCAACAGCCTGGAGTAGAAACGAGGGTGGCAGAATTCCAGCAGGCTGGTTAGCAGGAAAATCTAAGCACATGGACTGTGCCTGGCCCATCACACAGGCTGATGGCTGTGGGAGCCAGCCCTTTACAGGCAGGTGGAAATGGAACCAGGTGAGGCTGGGGTGAGGCTTCATCCTACAGATCCAGCTGCGCTTCCGAGGGCAGGCGTTAAGCCCTGGGCCTGGTATCTCTGCTATTTCGTAATGGCATCTCTGCTCCCACCCTCAGCTCCTTCCAAATGGATGCGGCCAAAGAATTTTAATCTCTGAACACATTCTTAAGGGAAAGTCCTGTCTCAACATGAAGCATGGCTGGGTTTTTGCGAAGTCCCTTTTGGCTTCCACCTCACAGGAGTCTTGTCTTTTTGTTCCAGGGCCCTTAAGTGAGAAGCAAGAGGCTTTGATGACAAAGAGCCCTGCGTCCAACGCGCGGCGCCCTGAGGACCGGAACCTGGGGCCCATGTGGCCAGTCACACAGAGGATCCTGCAGGACTTCTACGGGCCTTTCAACACCAGGCTGGTGCAGGTTCTTGCTGATGAGGCGTTCGCCTGGAGGAAGACCTGAGGGCTGCCGCCAGGCCGCGGTTCCAGGCGTACTGTGATTTCAGAGGCTGCTTTCTGTGGCGAAGCGTCGTGCTCAGAGCATGGAGAAAACCGGGATTCGAGTCTTCTTTCCCTCCCTAGGCACATGTTTATTAGAACCAACTCAGAATTCCCTTTGTGATGGTCAGTAGCCCAGCAGTGGACCCTTCTCAGTCTCTCTGGCAGAGGCCCCTGGGGACTCCAGTGACAGAGTCCCCTTCTGCTCCAGGAGGCCTGGCGGAGGCCGGCGGGTGTGACTGCTTGCTGAGAGGGAGCATCGAGTCAGGGTGACAGTCCTGGGATCCGACTGAGCACACTAGAAGTCACCCCAGAACTTACCCTTCATGTCCAGTGTTGAAACACTCTGTTCAGATCATTCACCTCGTTTGGGCGGAGAATGGAGGCTCTTTCGGTTTTTTTCCTTTTACTGCAAAGTCAGCCCTTGGCTCTCTTCAGATACAAACTCCGTAACTTCACTCCTTAACGAGAGGAAAACACAAGTCCGTTTTTGGCAGCACGTTCATCTCTCAGACCTCCCATCCTATCTTTGTGGACTTATGTTTAACATAGAGAATGACGCCGTTTAAAACAAACCGCTTTCTGTGTTTCACTAACCCAAGCTCTCTTTTCTGCCTCCTTAGATATTTCCTCAAGAGTTTATTCAGCTGATAATTGGACCAAATTCAGTTTAGAATGGGGGAGAAATTTTTGCTGTTAATGCCAGACTGAGCAACTTCAAGGAATTGAACACTTCATGGAAAGTCTAGGTACCTCGGGCCCTCCTCATGCACACAAGGTCATCAGAACTGGAGGGGGTTCAAAGTTCTAGTTCTGGCCACTGACAGGCTCCATTTTTCTGCCTTCCCCCTGGAATCACCCACGTTCTCTGCCGTGTGTGGCCAGAGGCCCTTACCCCGTTCACAGACTGTAAGATGCTGGTGTCCTGATTCAGAAACACAATGCATAAGCCCTCCTGGGGCCGAACATGGTATGCTGGGTTTCTTAAAGGAACTTTCTGGGACACCTGGCAGCTTGATTCCCTGATGGGTGGGCTGAAGGTCTTGTTATTTCTTGGAGGTGCTGGGGAAAGAGTGCAGAGGACACTGGAGCCCGGTCAGCACCCAGCCCCAGGTGCGGCCCCGCTGCAGCTGTGCACGCGAGTGTGGGCAAGGAAAGCGTCCTGTGAACCAGAACCAAAGTCAGAAAGTGCAGATGACAACATAGCTGACCATCCGTCGCGGGCGTGAGGATTTACCCGGCGGTCCAGCCCCAGCGCCGTCGTCTCTGCCGGCAGAACTGGGGGGCACCGCCCATTCAAAGGCCTGCAGAGGGCCCTCAGTACTGGCACGGCCAGACGATTTCTGCTACTGAAAGAGCGATGTGTCCTGAGCAGCCACTTTCAAAAGGGACAGTCCCCTGCCTTCCCCTCACAGCCGGCACTCGGAGCAGCAGCCAGCAGGGGCGTCTGGCCTGCGCCCAGGGGTGCTGTCGGGAGATGTCACTTCAGTGCGCGTGTGTATTTATTTGCAGTGCAGGGTGTGTGTGTGCGTGTGGGTGCATTTTCGGAGTGAGTTCCCTTCAGTTCTGTTGCTCATGCAGCTCCCCCTCCCCTGTGGACACAGCCCTTCCATGGATTCGTTTCTCTGCCAATTGGCTTGTCATTTTCAGTCCATATTTTGCCATTCCACCCCAACCGTAATTACAAGGGATTTTTCTTACGCACTCCTGTGCATGTGAATAACATGTAGTGTAATTCTGCTTCTTACAGAAGTATTCTGAAGGTATTGTTTCCAATATTACTTGGTTTATTATACAAGCCTTTTTGTATACACAGGCCCACCCTTCTGTGCCAATCCGTGCCATCTGGACACAGTTTCTCTCAAGGGGCCTTTCTCCAAAGGGCCTCTCCGCTGGCTTGGCTTTCTCTCGTTCAAGGCCGGGTCCTGTTGACAGCACAGGTGCCGTTTCGAGCGGTGGTCCTAGAGCCTGTCGTGCAAAACCAAAGCAAAGTGGAGCCTTTCTCGACCTGGTATTGAAGTGACTTTGTGCTCCCCAAAGCTATGTATCCGATCGTATTAAATCCTACTCCCTTAGTCATGCAGGTATGTTAAGTGAACCGCAGTTATGCTGTCCTGTCATTAATATTTAACGTAATTCGATGTGGGCCCTGTGCCTGGGACCCGTGCTCTTCCCGCCATCCTGAGTGCTCGTGGCGGGTCCTCCCTGTGGGGGCCGCGGTGCGTGAAGGAGTTGTGGGAGTAGTTCAGTGTCTTCCTTGCACATGTTGTACACAGTCTGTGCAGGGGACCTACCGCATACAGTGACAGGTGAGAGAGAGCAGAGAGAGGGGTTCAGATGCTGTGTTACCGTGGACTCCCCACGTGGGGCCTGCTGGGGTGAGCCAGGGGGACGACAGCTGGCCCTGACCTCAGACAGGCCTAACGTTGTCTTCAGACATTGGGACTTGAAGGTTGCGTGACCACAGGCCCTGCTACTCCCAATAGGCTCCCCGGCGTGGCTGCTTCCCTCCTTTCTGTGGCCTGCCTGGGCCTGGGGGCTGCGAGTTTGAGACCCTTTGTGTCACTGGGTGCGTGTCATTATCACTGGACACTCAGGGTCCCCTGGCTGCATTCAGGGTGGGGCGAGCCTGAGGGAGGAGATGGGTTGTCTCAAGTTTGGGGTTCTGGAAGCCTGTGCCACCCGGAGGACAGCACGGACCCTGGGTTGGTCCCTGAGTTCTGGAAAGACCCACTCTGAGTGAACCTCTGTTCCCAGCACTGCCCCCCACAGTGGTGTGTTGGGGGAAGGGGAGCTGGTGAGTCCAGCCCTAGAACAAGGATGCTGAAGCCAGAAACGGCTTTGCTCAGCAGAGAAAAAACTGTGCCTGTAGGGAGATGGGGCGAGTGGGAGACCAGGCTCCGGGTGCCACAGGACAGATGGGTGAGTCTTGAGGGTTGATTGCATACCCTTGCCCAGAGGCCTTTCCAGAACCCTCTGCTTCATGGCTACCTGCCCCCTACTGCGGAACCAGCTTGCAGGGAACATTCCAGTGAGGGCCATCTGCATCTTAATGTAAACCTTCCTCTGGAACGACCTCTCTCCAAGTGACCCGATTTGGTAACCCATGCCAAGACCTGCTCCTGATGAAGGAATCTGAGGCTCGAGCGGCAGGGAGCACGGCATTGTGTGTGGGCGGTGTTTTCCTGTTGCTCCAGAAACCTCACCCTGTGGGCACCGGCTTTGCTTGTGGATGAAGCACGTCCTGTGAGACTCGTGGGAAGGCATCACTCTCCCAGCCCTCACCTGCAGGCCCCCTGCAGAGCAGCCCGGAGAATGGGTCCCTGTGGGCGTGGGCGGAGGCTGCAGCAACATGAGCACCAGCCGGCTCTGGGGAGCTGCGTTAGTGTCCCACGGCTGCTGTGGCAAATTACCCCAACCTGAGTGGCTAAAAACAACACAGCTGCATTATGTTACAGTTTTGGAGGCCGGAAATTCAAAATCCTTCCCACTGAGCTAAAGTCAAGGCGTGGGCAGCGCCGTGTTCCTTCTGGAAGCTCTTGGGGAGAATCGTTTCTTAGCCTCTTCCAGCTTCTCGAGGCTACTTGCAGTCCTTGGCTTGTGGCCCCCTCCTCCCTCTTCAAAGTGTAGCATCTTCAAATCTCTTTCTGACTGTGCTTCCCTCTGCTTCTGTGGTCTGGTCACCTTCTGTGACCCCCACCCTTGGCCTCTTGTAAGGACCCTTGTGATTATTCTGGGCTCACCGGATAATGCAGGATCATCTCCCCATCTCAAGGTCACATCTGCAAAACCCTTTTGCCATGTAAGGTGATGTATTTATAGGCTCCGGGCATTGGGACGCAGACATCTTTGGGGGCCGTTATTCAACCAGCCATAGCGGGGTGGTCCAGTGAGCTGGTTGGGCCATCAAGGGATGGAGGCATGCTCACCGGCCTGTCCCTTGCAGCTGTGCCCTGTGGGGCTCAAGCAGGTCTGAGTGGGCGGCGGCTGCCTAGCAGAGGGTGGAGCTTCTGGACATGTCTGTTCTGAGATGATGCGTCTTCCTGTGGGCAGGACTGTGACTAGGGTGGGCAGGACAGCTGGGTAGGGCCAGAAACCCACCTTCTTCCCAAAGTCAAATACACTCATTCTTCTGTATGTTTCTCCCACGTGAGCCCCTAGCCCCAGAGAGGACCATTTCTCCAGCTCCAGGTAGGAGTGATTTTTGAGTGCTTAGAAGTTTTGTGGGTTTTTTTATTTTCTCAGTTCCCCCAGGAGACCCACATGAGCCACACGGGCAGTTTTGAGTTTCCCAAGTTCAGCTATTTTCGCGTTAGTCATGCTTCAAAGGGAGCAGCTGGTGAAAGCCACAAAAATAGTTAGAATGTTTTCTGGTCCCTGAGAGATCCTCGGGGGCCAGTGGCCACTGTGGCCCCAGCCGCCTGCTCCAGGGCTGGCTTTGGAAGGCTGACCGCCAGCCTCACTTTCATGCGTTGTGCCTGATGGCCCCAAGCTGGACTCGATCCAACAAACTCTGCTGTGTCCTGCCCCCCCCCCCCCACCCCTCGGCCTGGCTGGCCCCTCATTCCTCTCCATTCCCGTCCTTTGTAGACCTGCTCCTGCTCAGGTCTTGGGCAGAAGGGCAGAGAACTCTGGAGGGTCCTGGGCTCCCTAAGGCTGCTGGGTTGCTGCCTGCAGAGAGCCTGTGTGGGACGAGGACTGAGCACAGAGGCGGAAACCAGGGAACCAGGAGATGGCAGCAGGCACAGGAGGAGCAAAAGTTCACCCTCAGTGGCCACCCAGGAGTGGCCGTGTCCTCCTGCCAGGGGCACAAGGGACCGACTCAGGTCTGCCCCTCTGCTTTCACTGTCACCCTCCAGGGCCAAGCAAGGAGTCGAATAGTCTACTCCATGCTGGGCAGCATTGGCTGACCGCCCGTCAGGCCCACGCTGAATTGGGCACAGAGGCGAGCGCAAGAGGACCTCCTCTCCCACAGAGCCCTGTGCTGGGGGCAGCAGTGGGGGGCAGGGTGTGGCACAGAGGCCCCCGGGGCTCCCTGTGGCTTTTCGCCAGGCACCCTCAGCTCTGCCTGCATGGAGGCTCAGGTCCTGACCAGTGACCTTCCACCAAAAAGGACGGGCTGCCTTGCACTCATCAAACTCTGCCCTGAGAGGGACAGTATGGGGAGAGGGCCTGGAGCCAGATGAGCTGGGTCCCCCAGCAGAGGGCCTCAGATGCACCCATCCCATAACCTGGGGGCACCATTGGCCCCTTCCACATCCACAGGTCTGTGGGCCTTGGGAGTGGGTGTCAGAGTTAATGAGGCAATGGTATGCGAAAGTACAAACTGAGGATCAGAGAGGCTGCACACCTGCCTGAGGCCACACAGCTCTGATCCCCAGAAAGGAAGAGCAGAATGCCAACTCAGAGATTTTACTTTTTAACTTCAAAGTCAATGCCTTTAACTATGGTGCTCGACTATACTCCCCCCTAACCCCCCCCAAGCAGCTTGTCTGCATTTCATGTGTCAGGAATCCTTCCCCCTCCCTTCAGCCCCCATTTTGAAGGCCCTCAGGGATGGGGCAGTGCTTCCTGGGTCTTCTGGGCCCAAGGTTTCTGCGGACCTACCCACTTAGGGCTCTAGCTGGTGGCTGGAGGTCTAGGGGGAAAGGAAAGGCAATGAACAGGACTTTGTTCTTCCCAGAGGGTCTCGCAGCTGAGACTCCTGCTGGCAGAGGCGGCCTCCCCACCCTGGGTCTGCTTGGGGGAGCCTCCCACCCACAGGATGGGGGCTAGCTGGAAGGGGCGGGCAGTCTCATGGGAAGTGGGTTGTCCGCCCCTGGACTCAGCCCCACCCGCCTGCCTCAAAGGCACCACGGGGACACACTCCAGCTAGGAAGTGTGCAAAGAGTCAAAATTTAACTTAACAAGTATTTTCTGAATGTCTGCTTTGCACAAGGCACTGGGCCAGGTGTTGGGGTGGGGGCTGTTTGTTTGCTCCTTCACCGATGCCTCCGCCGGTTCTTCCATCAAGAATTTATGGAGCCCTGACTGAGCGGCCGCTGCTGGATGGTCCCAGGAGAGCAGACCCGGTCCCTGCCCACAGGGAGCTGGGCTAGTGCGCAGACAGATAGTGATCAGAGCATCACCCAAGCAAAGCAGAACTGCAACAGCGTGAGTGCGGCTGGAAGGTACCTGGGACAGTGATGTGTTCCCGGCGAGACCTCTGCCCCTCCCCTGGCCACTGCATTCCCTGTGTCACCTCATCTGCCTCAGAGACCACGCCAGAACTGATGACCCAGCTTCTCCCAAGTGACATGGACACAAGTACCGGCACGCTTCGGGCCTGCCAGGGCACCCCAGGGCCCTGCACCCCTGTTCCTAACCCCACACCCTGATGCTCACAGAAGCCACCGCACCTGCCATCGGGTCCCCTGGGCCTCACGGCCTCATCCCCCCCAGAATGCCCCCTTTACCTTCTTGCTGTAGCTCAGGGTGGGCAAAGATTTCCCATAAAAGGGCAGATGGTAAATATGTTAGACTTTGCGGGCCCAAGAGGCAAAATAGTAGATAAGTAATTTCTCATAAAGCAGGAGAGAAAACAATTTCCACAAACATTTATTGACAAAATTTTAAATATAATCATTCAGTACAACTTTTTGGTAATACAGGTCTGCTTATGAGAAAAGGGAATTCTTTTTGAGGGTGGGTAACACTTTGCTTAATTGAGGTTTAAATTTACCAAACCGGGGCCAGCCCCGTGGCCGACTGGTTAAGTTCGCGCTGTGCTTTGGCAGCCCAGGGTTCACCAGTTTGTATCCTGGGCACGGACCTATGCACTGCTCATCAGGCCATGCTGTGGCGGTGTCCCACGTAGGAGAACTAGAAGGACTTACAACTGTGATATACACCTATGTACTGGGGTTTTGGGGAGAAAAAAAAGAGGAAGATTGGCAATGGATGTTAACTCAGGGCCAACCTTCCTCACCAAAAAAAAAAAAAGTTACCAAATCAATTGCAGAAGTTCCCCTGTAAAGACCATTCTGAGCTCCATCTCCTGGTCCTGCTAACCTCCTACACACTCTCACTTGGTGTCCAGGACACTGGACTCCAACCTCCATAGC